TTAAAATAAATGAGCTTTATTTTGCAAGAATGTTTCATCCTATTAAAAAGTATATTTATGCAACAATAATTTCCTTGATTAAATTATAAAACATGGTTTATGCAAACAGAGACTGCTGTTCATATTTTTAAACATGAGATATTTTATATATGCCGATATATGCGTGACAGCTGTACTGAAAATAATACACAATTACGCGCTTTTACAAAAGAAGTAACGAGCTGCGGTTTCCATAATTTGGTGTCAAAGCAAAATGTGCAAACCGATAATATTATATTGGCTTTGTTTCAAACAATATATGAAACTTATATCATATAATCATGCTACACTTTTTTAATTCTTTCTGGCAGTACAGTCATATTTAGTAACCTGTACCATATATTGGAGACAAAATAAAAAAGAATTACAAACAATATACAATATTATGTCACCAAATGTAAAAATATGTAATACTACAATGAAAAAGCTTATAAAAATATCGTGGCATCAAAGGATGATAAAAGAAAAATGCTATTTTATTACAATTAAAAAAATATTCTCGAATGTATGTAAAGAACAAATTTCTAACAAGAGCTATAAATCAAAAGTTGCGGTAACGTTTTTATGGCATATATGTAAAAATAATAGAAATTATCTTATATATATTTAAAATTACACCCTATGTGTGTGCGTGTGTGTATTGGAAAACTATATTTTTCTCTTAAAAAACTACATCCTCTTACATGCGAGATTTTAGTCTTCAGAATCTACAGTTGAAATTTCACAGAAAATAACAACGCGGACAAAAATCTAATGTGGAATTTTCATAAAACAAAGTCGGATCAATCTTTCAACTGCAAACATCTTGCATAAATCCCATGACCTCATTTCCGAGATTTCTCAATGCCGCTTGCTCTGCATTTCTTCTTAAAATTTCTTAAATTTTTAAATCTCTTAAATCTTTCTTTTTTTTTTATGAATTTCCTTATATGTATAAATACGCGAAATAATTCTTCAAAATGCGTTTTATATTTTATAGCTAGATTATGCGATCAAACATGCATTTTTATTTTAGCTCTCGTTTTAAAAACTGGATAAATAATTATTTTCACAAATTTGTATTATGCAATTATAATTCTACTATTTCCTAATTATTTAATTAAATATTTTTGGCTAACGCCTTTTATTTTATTATAATATGTAATAAAAAGATATTTTGGCCGTTTTTATTATTAAGCAGTGACTACCTTTACACGTCACTCTTAATTGAATTTACATCCAAATTGAATAACATCCGTAGTTTTAAAACTGACCAATTACGACAATTCCTCTGAAGAATGGAATGACTGTGATTAGCCAGTTTTGGAACTACGGATGGTATTAAACCCGATTAAAGATGACATGTAAACGTAATTAGTGTTAGAATTCTATACAAAAGACAATTATTGCGCTGAAAAGTCAGACAAATTAAATTTGCAAATGGAGAGTTAAATTTCATGTATTTTCAAAAATTGATATTTATTGTATGCTAGCACAATTTTTTTATATATAATTCAAATAATAAAAAAATCACAGGTTATTAATTTTTCTGAAAATAATTGTATATCATAATTAGAACACACGTTCAATTTTGCGTTTACTTTCATGTTTATATAAAGTAATAGCGATATCAACATCTCGTTATTATTATTAGAATAATAATAGATATTATTATAATTATTATTAGCCAGTTAATATCGTTAGAATTGAAAATTTGGGAACAGATTCCATTGGGACACTCTGTCATTAATAACATGCTGTAGTTAAATCAGATAATAAACTTTGATATGCTTCTGCGAATTTCAATATGTTTGCTACCAAAGCTCGAAAATAAACTTGTTTTACGCGTCACGTTTGCATGCCAGTTTAACTCTTCTAATATCATGGGGTCACCAGCGAGATCCCAAGTCACTTATCATAATGTAATTCTTTTTGTTTTTTGCCACTTTCTACGTTTTATTCTTATATTTTCAAATTCACTTTGTAACGTAAGACTAGACCGTACAACAATATCAAATGTGTTTATAGAGTCGCCCGAATAGTATTTAATACACCAACAATTTTTTGCGCTGAAATTTACGAGTAACGTAAGACTAGACCGTACAACAATATCAAATGTGTTTATAGAGTCGCCCGAATAGTATTTAATACACCAACAAAAATTTCGTAGTGAGAGGATTATAAATGTCTCTGCAATACGTAATTTTTGCGCTGAAATTTACGAAATTCTATCAAAGGGATAGCAACAATTGAAACTTTCTCTAATAACGATCGCAAGAAAATTATAGTTATCGCAAACAATGATAGCAACTATTCAAATATCAATATCACTAGTGTGTCGAAACTTTCTGCTTGACATAGATGACAGGCGCCAAATAGTGCTCGTTGCAACAAGCTTGAAAGCGTCTCTACTTTCTCCCCGCGTTACCCAAAGTTGCTTAACATTAACCTAGTTACTGATATTGTACCTAGAGGCACTGTCCCTAATAAGTCCCTACCGTTCCACGTGTATTAGCGCGGATCCAGAAACAAATTAGCATGCTTACATTTTCTCTTATATAATAAATTTATCAAAAAATCGCTACTTTCGTATATGATGTATTTTTATACATTTCATTATTCTAAATAAAATAAAGAATTTCTCAAGTTCCGATTACACAGTTAATTAATGTTTAAAAATAGAAGTTGTTTCAAACTAAGTGAAAAAATTGGCAAATAAGAGCCGTAGCGCGGTGATTGTAGAGAGCGCAAAATTTTTTCTTATATTGTAAAATATTTAATTTCATTAACAAATGTATATTAAATATGTAAATTAATGTACATTTGTTAAAGAAATTGAAAAGGAAAATGGAATTGTAAAAAGGTTTTCGCTTTAATTACCGCGTCTCAGTCCTTATTTGCTGATTTTTTCACTTATTGTTAGTATCGTTATTACTTTAAATCTATTTCTGCTATTATTGTTTCGAATTCTCTCTCTATTTCTCTCTTTCTCTCTCTCTCTCTTTCTCTCTCTCTGTCTTATATGTATTTTAGAACCTAAGAGAATATTATTTATATTATAATATTTGGCTGGCTAATAATAAGTTGCTCAGTAGATAGAATTTTCGTTTGATAAACGATAGATCCGGATCCAATTATGCTCGATGTCACTCTGCGAGATGAAACGTGATAAAAGCAAGGCTTGCTGGCAACGGTCTTAAATTTGATTCCGATTAATTATTCCATATATATGCATACCTCCGATTAAGAGAATTCATACTAACAAGATATATGTGACATAAAGATGAACCCTCCAATAAAATCTAGATACCACATAGGTGAAACCGCATCTATTTACTACTAACTATGATGTATTACATTTACATAACAAAGTTACATTTATTATTTTTATTTACACAACTGCAGCCTCATCAATCCAAATAATAATAATAAATGTAATTTCTCTCTTATATATATAGACGTGACATGTAAAATAGTATTTACGGTTTTGTTACAGTAATTACATAATTTTGATGAGTATATATTATAATTGTGTAAATAGAAATAATAAATGATTTCTTTTATGTAAATGAATAATTTTCATAAAACCTATCTATGAAAATCTGCAGTTTGCGTATATCTATGTTTCTTGTGATGCTAAAAAATTACATTTCTATTGCTATTACGATTATTGTGAAAACGATAGAATTGACAATAATAACGATAATATCAATGTGTCTTTTTTTCGAGGATAAACATGCAGTTCTCTAAAAACAAATTTATTTCTTATTTATTTGGATAATGGATTTGCAACTATTATAAAAGAATGTGTTGTATCAAACGGCGATAACAATTCGAATATCAATGTCTCTGGCCTGTTGAAACTTTCTGCTCGATATAGATGACATGCGCCAAATAGTGCACAGGCAACAGGCTTGAAAGCATCTCCATTTCCCCGTTTTTCGAAGTTACTTAACACTAATCAAGTTATTAATATCGAGAAAGTACTATTTATATAATAGGTCTTGGCACTTTATAATAAGTCTTTCCTGTTTCACATGTATTAGTACAAAAGCCAAAATCCAGAAACGAATTAACATGCTTATGTTCTTAACGAGTTATCGAAAAGTCGCTACTCTCGAATATGATACATTTTTACGCGTATGTTGTCTCGAATAAAATAGAGAATTTGTCAAGCTGCGATTAGAATCGATGAGTTGTGTAAAACCTAAGAGAATGTTTATTAAAATTACACACTCAAATATTTTTTTCTATTTTGCTTAAGTTTCTTTTTAGATTTATTATAACCTAAAAAAAATAAAAAAATTTTATAACACTTTATTATAATTTTATAGAAAACATTCTAGTGTGAGAAGATAATTATCGATTATTAGTATGCAACTTGTAATATGAAGAAAGAGAAAGAGAGAGAGAGAGTGTAATTCCACAATCGTTGAATGTGCGATTTTTTTTTTACGTATCTTATATAAAAATAAGTCTAAATATATACACACATATTTAAAATTTAGACAAAATCAAAATTTTGTGTACAAGAATTTATTTTGTTTTTCTCGTCCAACTTATATTTTTCAGTCTTATCGTTGACCCAGATTTTTGAGAACAAAAAGTAATTCTTTAAAGAAGCTTACCTGATAAGCACTCTCTCTTTCTTCACTCTTCTGTTTTACAAGACTAGCGCGTTTTCTCTAAATAAAGCTAAATTGAGTTTCGACGGTTATTACTAAAATATAATTTTTTTAACTATGTTTTAATATACATTTATCTTATTATGCGACATACATTTCTTTTTACTTTCTATTATCTTGTTGTTTGTTATCAAGATTTCACAATTATAAATATAATTAATAAAATAGAGAGATAAAAATAAATTCAGAAATATATAAGAACCATTATCTAATTACATAAAGAATAAAAAGAATGCTTAACATAATCACCATAAATTTTGATAAAATGTCAGTTTATATTATAATATTTAATAATACCTTAGCAATCGATTCTTCCAGGAGAAATTTCGCACGTTCGACCAATATGTCAATTTTGATTTCAAAGATCGGAAATTTTATGTTTATCTGGAAGGAACATCTCAATCAATATCAAAACTACCGATAAATATATTAATAACGCACTATTATTAAATTTTGAACACTCTATAAAGGAGGGTATATATTACGAATTGTCTTTATATATTATGGATTCTTTGTGATATACAATAACGGGATACCAATTTGGCAGATCGGGTGCGCAACATAAACTGAAGGGAATCTCGGATTCACGGAGGATCTACGTCCGTTCGACGCAGTCGCAAAACACTGCAGCCAATTGCTCCCATCTCTCTCCCTTCATCTCATCGTACTTCTCGTTTTGCCTTGTTCCATCATTTTTCGAGGTGCACAGAATCACACTTCACGGGAAAAATAATGAGCAAAAAATGTTTGCTGTGCGCAAAGCAATCGCTAAACTGCACAATCGCAATTTTGTCAGCCTTTTGATTAGCGCGATTTCGATTAAATCATGTATAAGAATAAGATGTTAAGTAAAAGCGGATTTACATAGATAGATAAACGCTTTACTACAGCGATTACTTTTACACACCAGCCATTTATAAAAGCTTTTTTTTAATAAGGTTAAAAAACATATATAAATAAATATGAGAGAGAAAACTTTGAAAAAAGGAGAAAAAATTTTATATAAAATTAAATTAATTTTATATTTTTAAAATTTTATATTTGTTTAATGGTAAAAAAAATGTAAAATATTTGGTAATTATTTACATTAACGAATATATTTCCGATAGACTTTGACATGTGTTATAGAAATAAGGATATTAATTATAAGAGAGCCTCCTTCCTTCTCAACACATTTTAAATATTTATATAAATATCTCAAAAATTGTACGAAACCACTGGCTAAGACATAAGTTATTAATCAGTACCTTCAAATGTACAATATTTATCAAGATTAACATTATTAAAAGTGTATGTGTTCGTTAATATCGATAATTATTTATTTATATTTTATTTGCCTAGCAATATTATTAAAAAATTGTATTAATATTAATATTTAATATATTAAATATTAATATTAATAAAATTTTAATTTTTCAATTAATATTTCTTTGGTACATACATGAAAGGGTTGCAATGTTACACGGAAATTTTGATTTGATTTTGAGATTTCGCGTTTGTAATCCTGCGTTTGCAATCTGTTGTTTGATCCGTGCTTGTCAAATATACATTAAATTTGCCTATTCAAACTGGCAGTAAACGAGTGAACACATTATCATATGTGTTTGATTATATCCATTGGATTCTCTTAAATCAGTATTTATTATCATTATCGTTATTATCATTGCAAACAATGGTTTCAGTTATAAGCTGCAAACAATAAAACCTCACTGAGAAAAATCTATTAGTGGTAGTGATTGATTTGTCAATGAAATTTTACTGCCATAATAAATGAAACATAAGATGAAGGAGCAAAGTTTGAGCAATTTCGCTGAAAATCAGTGAAGTACTTACTAATATTTGATGAAGCCTTGTCATTACTTTAATTAGTGACATTTCCACAAATATCATTACTTTAATCAGACATTTTCACAAATAATATTTTAAGAAAATAGGATGCTCTATAATTATATATATAAATTGAATACCATACAATTATATACCGATTCTTAAATAAGAAACATTTCATGATATTTAAGATTTATTTTAAATATATTTTGATCACACAGAATTAAGACGATATAGAAAAGTTCTTTAAAACAATTTTTTGATAACAGATATAATATTTCTACTATCAATAAATGTACCCCACTTGCATTTTATTAATCTGCAGAGGCAAGAATAAATTTTATGCGCTTCGCGAAGTTCTCTTATATATATCATCGGGTTTGCCGAATGAATTATGTGCGTCATCGATAATAAATTATTCGCGCGATTTCGATTCCTGTGCGATCTCGATGTCGTCTCATAATTTCCTCCGGGTATCCTTCCCATCGAAGGACTTCGGAGGAGATATTCTAGAAACGATCAACTATCACTAAACTAAATGATCTCGGTCATTTGGCGTTCTGTTTGTGAATCTACTTGGATTTCAATTAGAATATCCACGATAAGTTAAACAGCTAACGAGCCGAAGTCGTGTTTATATATCAAGTCCGCGTATGCGCTTACACTTTTCCAGAATCGTCGTTTATCTTCTTCTTTCGGTCCCGATTTTCGAGTACAGTGTGTCAAAGCGCATCATCTTCCTCGTTGCTCTATTTTACGAAGAGCTTTTGTGTGTCAGTGTTTTATCGCGAACGTTTCGATTTTCGCGGATTCAATTCGACATATCCTAGATTGCATTTCCTTGATTGATTATATGTTGAAGTACTAGTGGAAACAAACAGAAGCGGAAAAGACGAAGCAAAGGAAGGTAAACGATGCGCGGGTAAGTTTTTAAGAACCTTTTTTCTATAGTCTTTTTTTATTTGACTTTTGTCTGTATTGATTTTTTTATACGAAAAGACTTCTGAATTTTGATACACAAAATTGAACAATAATGGAGTTTTTATATTTGATCAGTGTTAGCTTTTAAAAAATAAAAAAAAAATAATAGTTAAAAAATGCAGAAATACTTTTGTTAAAATCGGGTTCAGATTTGAAATCTTACATGGACGTCTTGAATCGATTTTCCTGTCTCCTATTGCGCGACGATGTCATCTAATAAATTTAGAAAATCTCGCACTACATGTTGTAATACGTTTGTGTCGCTATTTTAATTTAGATATATTTTGCCCTCATGTGCATATCTATTTTTTTCTCTGTAATACATATAAATATAATTATTTACTCAGCTATATTATTATTTGCTCACAACATATATCTCGGAATTGCTTCAGGCCACGCGCTTTGTAAATTGCATTGCAGATTATCGTATAACTGTAATTTCATTGAAAATGATGATATGTGCGTGTTTTGTCAAGCGTAATTTAAGGGCATAAAAAAAATTGGGATTATTTCTTATTTTCTTCTGAAATTGATATAAAAGAATCCGGTTGCGATAATTTTTGTTTGAGAAACAATGCGACAACTAAAGTATTTGGGATAAGAAGTAATAGAATTTCAATGGTTTATTTGCGGATTGTTAGGCCCGTTTGATCGAGCATAAAACAAACAGGACATTTTAGTCCTGGCCTGTCTGAGCGATATAATGTGTGAGTTGTTATGTGCGTATACTTTGTAACGTTTTAGTAACAATATATAGTCTATAAGAATCTTCAAGAATATGCTACTGGCGCAAATATCAGTTCGATATCAGAAAAATTAATAGGACAATTATTACAAAAAAAGCTCTTTTTATAACGAATTTTCTTTCCTAATACAAGCAAATTTATAATAAAAACAAAAAATAATAAATTAATAAAAAATATCTTATCGCGTAATAAAAAATTTGCAATAAATGTAATTTTTGTATATTTATCTAAATCAATAATTAATTGAACGATATATCTAGTCGAATATTTTATTGCAGGAGAGGTGGGGGGAAAGACCTTTTCGCGTAATTTTCATTTTGAATGGTTTATTTCGAAAAAGTAATATGCACATTTCGCAGGAGACGCGTTATTTTCTCGAAGAGCTGTTATTTAGCGAGAACACGCAAATGCTGGCATGTTTCGCACAAACGTGAAATAAACCGTAATGTACTATTTACTCAACTTGCGAGACCTTGCAGTCAAAGCAAGTAAAACACCGCGAAAGGATAGAGAACGCAGTATGCATCAACTGTACTGTTTCACTTCAGATTTATTACGTGCGGAAAGTTAAAAGGCAACAAATCTAAATTTTTCAATAAAGGCGATTTGAATCACGATATCTTCTTCTACATTTAAATGGATAACGTTCGGTCAAAAATTGGCTAAAAAATTAAACGTTATTATCGATTTGTGTGTGCGTGTGTGCAATGTAATTCGCTTTAATTTTGAGATTAGTAAATAAGGGTGCTATTAATTTTTTTGGATTTGTAATTAAATGCGCTATTAAATTTTTGCTAGCTTCAAGAGCTTAATTCTAGACTCATCAAATTTATCTGCGGAAAAAAGGTATCATACCAATGGCGTATCTTTTCCACGCAGTATTACATAAACCGCCAATTAATAGTACATCCATTTGTCGTGTAATTAAAATCTTTTATTATACAATAAATATTTTAAGAATTACAATATATTGCGTTGATAAAAAAGAAACTTCACATAAAACATTTAAAATTTACATTAAAAGATAAATATATCAACGAATATAGTATAATACAATCCACGACGGCCTTCTGTGAAGGAAGCAATATATGTATGACAACATATAATTACTCATTCAGCGGAAAAATGCGAGAAGGATTAAAAGAAGATTATTGAATTTGTATTACATATGTAATGTTCAGCAAAGTACTCTCATGAATTTTTTACATTTTAGCCAGGTATTTTTTTTTTATTTATGTAAACGCTTTATAAGCCGGAAGCGAGATTTCAGCGCTAGAGAGAATTTGACGAAATTATGAAACCCGGAATAAATCGCGCGCATTAAACTTCGGATCGTGATACAGTCAAATAAGCATTTTATCGTAGAGAATTTCTTTTCATATCTTTCTCTTTTAAATTCCCTACTAGGCAGCTATGTTAACAATGGGATTATGCGGGATAAACTGGCATGGTATGTATTATCCTCAATCGTTTATATAATCTCCTTTACATGAGAAAATGCGAGTTAAAATATTTGCTATGTGCATGCACGCTTTTTCAAGTTACAGAGCTTATTGAATATTTAGCTTATGCTTGATTTTGCGTTCTCTGCAAACCATCGATTTGCAGGATCCTCGAATTCTCTTGCTCTCGAAAATCTTTCCTGAAAAGCCTCTTTTACTCTTCTAAAAAAATATGTGTTTTTCTTCTATTTTCTTAAAAATTAAAAATATATACAGGTCTTATACAAGCAATGTCTCGTTACATGCAATCGTAATAACTTACAATTAGATTAAAATTCGCGGCAGTATATTACAACTTTGATATTGAATGATCGCGCTTTGATAAAAATTTATTGTCGCGATACAGTTTCACGTTGTTAATTAATTAATTGTTAATTATAATAATTATAGCTAATTTTGTTTCGATATTTGTCACAATCACGTTTTGGAAAACGATTCAATAATATATGAAGCGTTTTGTATTACTGCTTTACTGCTCGAGTGTTGCTGTGCGAATAATAACAAGGCCGTAACCATAAACAATAGCGTGGTATTGTTTACGTTTATGCCGCCAAGGTTGAACATCATTGTTCTTGTTATAATTCGTTGTCGCGCGCACGAAATATTTTACGTACTATAACATATATTAATAATAATAAGGGAGCTGTATCTACGTATACGGTATTGAGTATCTCGCCATGTTCTCCCCACTTTGCCCGCTTATGAGCGAACCGAGATCATTCTCTTTTTGGATAGAGTATATATACGCCGAATATTAAATTATAAAAATATTTTAATTTATAGATTAATTATTTATTATACGATGGATGTATCACGAGGCTTGTGTTAATTATTCGATTCTGAAATTTGATTGTTAGAGAGACTAAAGAAATGATAACGAAGTAAACGCATTTAGTTAAGTTAACAAATTTGTTTTCTCGGTGTAATATCTACTTTATATCTCAATTGTTAGATGAAGGATTAAAAAAAAATTTCCTTTTTAAAAGAGAGAGGGAGAGAAATGATTCGTATAACATTACAGTCTTGAGGAATTCCTGATTACCCGTTATAAACACAAAGGCCAATCACAAATTAAGTGCAAATACAATCAAGAATATACTTCGATTAATTTATTCTGTATAAAGAAAAAAGTATTCGAAATAATTGATTTTTAAAAATTAATTATTACGCGCGATCAATATTTTTGTTTGTCCTTTAAACAGATGTTTAATAAAATCGACACAAAATGTGTCACATGATTCTGACAAATAGATATTGCGCATTAAATTTTCAAGTTTTCTATTCGAACAGATTTTTAAATTTTATTCAATCATTGCTACATGTGTAAAACCTCTTTTTCAAATATAAAGCCTTCAAAAAAAATGGTGTTGTATTTTTCTCGATAAAGATTTAAAATAAAAGCAACAAGTTTTTCAAACTTTTTTAATATTAGTAAAAATTGAAAGATTTAATTAAATTAAGAATTAATAAAATTTCTCACAATTTAATTAATTTTTAATTAGATAAATTTGTTAACTAAAATCTATTTGTAGATTTCATCAATAACATATTTTTAATGTTGAAGAGAGAGATTAAAAAGTTTGCTAAACGATCCGCGTGTAATCAATATTTGCACCAAAAAGAAATCTGATTCCCACTCATTGTCAGTTATAAAGCTGTACATATCTACTTAGGATCTCTTTCATTGTTTTCAATAATAAGATTTTCAAGTGGCTCGAGAATTTAACATAATTCTCTCAATGGCTTTTTTTGAGAAATTTTATCGGGAATCTTTCTAGGATTAAATTAAATTGTAGATATTGAATGAAAACAAATATGCACAGCGCATTCTGTAATAGAATATATAAATATATATAAATATATATTGTACATTTTTTCTCAGATTGTAATTTTTTATTATATAATACAATTACACACATGAAAAAAATATGTTGTCATTAAAATAAATGCAATTTTTTCAAAATCATTTTTTAATTTATTCTTCTTTATTTATCGTTCTTTGTCATTACCTAGAAATATATCATATAATTGTGTAAATTTTGTTCGCGATATTTTAATAAATATGATAATATTAATAATTTCCCGAGAATATTACTACTAATATTTTATCGGGAGATTGGAAAAAGTTTCAGGTATCGTTTCCTTTTCATAAAGGTTTGATCAAATCGTGCTTGTCCGCGAAATGAAATTTATAGAAACGTGCTTTAAAGTTTCAGCAGCGTTGATGTTGTTAACTATTCAAATAGCAACGGCAAACAATTTGTAATACAAATTTTCGAATGCATTGTTTTTTAAGTGAAAGATATCAATATTGATAAAGTATTTAATTTAATTGTGCAATTTGTATTAATTTAATATTGAATAACAAATACGATGCATGTTTTCTCTCTTTCTCTTTTTCCTGCTTTTTCTCTTTTCCTTTCCTTCTCTTGCTTTTGCTTTTTTCTTTCTTTTTCTTTATTTCTCTTTCTCTATTAAATAGATGCGCATACAAGCTTGTAAAATAACAATAACAAATTTATAATTAGCAACAACAAATATATTTTAGGATTGGCTTCAGAGAAAGCAAGGAAATTTTACAATTGTGGAAAGATTGATAGAAAAGTGTTTTCTCTCGCGCTTTTGACGCCATGGTATTTGCAATTTAAAGAAAACAAAATAAAAAATCATGGTTTACCAATTCAGCTTAATCC